CTCTCTCTCTCTCTCTCTCTCTCTCTCTCTCTCTCTCTCTCTCTCTCTCTCTCTCTCTCTCTCTCTCTCTCTCTCTCTCTCTCTCTCTCTCTCTCTCTCTCTCTCTCTCTCTCTCTCTCTCTCTCAATATAACAATTTAAATTACAAAAACTTCAACTTTAAAATTGTAATATTTACTGTAGACTGTGTTCTCTACTTGACGATACTTGTTCAATTTTGCATTTATCTTTCGGCAAGTTTTTCGTGTCTGTAATAAATTTCCATATTTCAAGAATGCTTGTATCTAAAATTAAAATTCCACTCCTTTCTTTAGGTCGCGCATATGTTCCGAGGTTGCAAGAGCGAGGACATGCCGCCGCATATTTACGCCATAGCGCAGTCGGCTTACAGAGGAATGCTGGCGACACGCAGGGACCATTCCCTGGTTTTCCTCGGGCGTAGCGGAGCGGGGAAAACCACGAACTTCAAACACGCCCTTCATTATCTCGTACTGGCTGCTGGCACAGTTAACAAGGCGAGTGGAAGCGTCTAATAATAAACACAATACTGCGGAACATTTTTCCAACTGTCGTTTCTCTTTACAGATCTTGACGATCGAGAAGCTGAATGCACTCTTCACGGTGCTCGAAGCCTTCGGAAACAGCAGAACGCATATGAATTCGAACGCGACTCGCTTCACGCAGCTCTTCAGTCTTGATTTCGATCAGTCGGGTCAGATCGCATCTGCCTCTCTGCAAGTAAGAAAAAACATTCTTCTGCGCCGTCTTTCTCGTGTTTGCAAAATAAATTCACTCTTCGTTTCCTCGCAAGGTACTGCTGTTGGAAAAGTCGCGAATCGGCCGACGTGCGAATGGCGATCCGACCTTTCACGCGGTTTATCGCTTGCTGGCGGGCGCGGAGGGCGCGCTGAGGAAAGAGTTACACCTCACGAATCTAGTCGCCGAGAACAATCCCTTCGTCACGCCCTTGCAGAAGCACGAGGACAAGCAGCGGGCTATGGTCGAGTTCAATCGCATCGTCGCGGCGTTCAGAATACTCGGCATCTCTGAGGCGGACGAAAAAGTCATCTGGTTGGTGCTGGCTGGCATTTATCACTTAAGTTGTGCCGGCGCCGTGAAAGCTGGCACCAGCTCGCAGAGCAGGTGGCAATTCGCGAGAGTTGAATGCGCGGAGAAAGCCGCCAATTTGCTGGGCACCACCGTCGAGGAACTGAGCCGAGTGGTGTTCTCCACGAATGGGGGTGGTGCCGGAACGCCAAGTACTCCGAGGCCAGCTCTGAGAACACCGAGCCCGACGGAACAGGGCAAGGACGTCATGGGGTTTGACGCGCTAGAGGGACTCCTGGTCGGACTCTACTCCGAAGTCTTCCACTGCGTCGCGGCTCTTATTAACAAGTAAATCAATTGATGGATCAATTAAATTACGTTGCAGAATTTCTTTGCAGATGCCGTAAAGCGTTATTGCTTTTATAAGTTTGTTTCATTAATTATTTCAAGAAGATTAAATAAAAAATAGCTAAAGATTGATAATTTTTAAAAACTTTTTCTTGAAAGTTTAAGTAATTAATAATTTAAAATGTAAGAATCTCTCAAATTTTATAAAATTATTAAATTTCCGTATTTCTTGATCGGTATTTCATTAATAATGTATTTGTTTTTTTTTAGATCCATATCATCCGCTGTACATACAGTCTCATCTGTGCTGCTGTGTGATGCGCCAGGTTTTCAAAATCCTGCCTCATGCGGCCGGCAAACCGGTGCTACTTTCGAAGATCTTTGTCACAATTATTTGCAGGAACGTCTGCAATTACTGTTTCATCACACCACTTTGGTAGCTCCAAAGGATAGGTACAAAATCTCAAAAATAAACCGTCCAAATAATTTTGATTCTTCCAAAAAATTATAAAATTAATTCTTCAACAAACACTATGTTATTTATTTTAGTATAAAGACAGCATCATGGATGCTTAAACTTATAAAAATTTATCAGATACGTCCAGGAGGGCATCGATGTAGATTACGAGGACGATTACGACGAGGATAGTATTGGATCGCCTCAAGGTTTAGTTTCTCTCCTGGATCGCGGAAGCTCGCAAAGCGCAACGATGTTGCGAACTAGTCAGAGCGATCTTAGCGGCGGCAGACAGATGGAACGAAAGGGATTACTCTGGCTGCTGGACGAGGAAACCGTGTGTCCAGGAGGCAGTGACGAAACCTTTTTGGACCGTTTATTTTCTCATTACGGAGATCGAGGTAAAATTAATTTTCCACCGCATTCACGCTAATTCTGAAATTTGTTACGCCAAAACGGTAATTCATAAAATATATTTCTCTTGCAGATCACCAAATGCTTCTAAGAAAAGCGCCAGGAAACAATCAATTCGTGTTGCAACATTTGTTAGGAACAAATCCCGTACTTTATACTGCGACCGGTTGGCTCAAAGCCACGCGCGAAAATCCCGTCGCCAAGAGTGCCATTACGATACTTCAAGAAAGCACAAGGTGCATATATTGCAGATTTATTTACTTAGACTTTTTAATTCACCGAGTATGAAATTTTAATGTCGTAAAAATTTTGTAGAGAACATGTGAGCAAGTTGTTCGTGAGTGCTCGGGGTGCCGGTGTTTCCGGTGCTCTATGCAGTTCCATGCCGGGACTCGAAGGCTCGCAGTCCTTGAGGCGAGCCTCGAGCATAAGAAGAACATTCACGGCCGTGAAAAGAAAGAACGTTTGTCTTCAAGTAAAATTCACCGTGGTAAGTATTAATTCCTTTCGCGCTTATTTATGTCCGCAATAATTTGAATTATTAATATTTAAAATTTTTGCTCACTTATTAATAAATTTAATGTTTCGCGAATATCTCAGAATGTTGCGATTTCTGTGAGATCTTTGAATGTTACTCGTCACCAGTGTCAAAGATCAGACTGTTATCGCACGTTCCATATAAAACGTTATCGCACGTAACGCATAAAACGTTATCGTATGATGTATTTGTCATACAAACGTCGCACAAGCTAATTTAAAACGAATCACTCTTCATCCCACGAAATGCGAGATATTCATTACGTTGAAAAGTTCGATGAAATGTGCATCGCATTGTTTTGGTGCCACATCGTGCTCTTTTGTATTCTTTATCTCACTGTCTATCTAGTAAGGACAATACTGCGATTCTTCAATTATCGCGCTCTCTCTCTCTCTCTCTCTCTCTCTGGTGTATCCCCGACGTTAAGTGGAATCAAGCGTAAGAGTTAATTGTTTCCAGGATGGCCTCGTGGAGACATTGCGAAGAACTCGCGTCAAGTTTGTGCACTGCCTTCTGCCGCAACACAATGCCGGTTGCACCGACAATAAGAGTCTTCTCTCCGTGAAATCGAATCAAAGTGAGGACACGGTCATTAATGTGCCTCTTCTCCGATCGCAGGTGAGATATTTTTCTTTTAAAAAAGTATTTTTTAATTTTTTAAGGATTAGTACCGCGCGAATCTAATCGCGCACGTTTTCATACGTTTGTACAGATTCGCGGCAGTCAGATAATCGACGCTGTTCGTTTACACAAAGTCGGATTCCCGAAGCACATGGCCCTAGGTGAATTCAGACGTCGATTCGGACTGTTATCGAGCAACGTGAATGCTCGTCCTGGAAGCCCCGTGACGGATGAACGTCGCGCCGTCGAAGACATGTTGCTTACTGTCGACGTTGATCCTGCATCCTATCGAGTCGGTCAAAGCCAGGTGAGTTAATATTTCCTTGAAGGTGCGCATAATTTTACTGAACTATAACTCTTGCAATGCCATGTAGAAAGCAGACAGTATCAGAAACAGCGAAAACGTCATTAATCACTCATAAAAGTTACAAATAATTATTGCGAGAATATTTATTGCGAGAAAGTTTGTTAGAGTATTGAGACATTCATCGAGATACCGCTTTAAGTCAAACATATGAGAATTTCCGAGAAAAAAACATAGGAAAATAGGACAGGATGATTATTTAACGAAAGAATTGCAGTAAAATAAGGGTCAAACGGCAGAGGCTAATAAATAATTTATCAAACACTTCTGTCCAAAGTCTGTGAGGAGTGGCATGTTAACAAGCTGCACATGTAACACTTGAGGGTTGTTAGAAAGCGACGATGCATACCTACACCTCATAATCTTACCGTCTTATTATTCACGAAATCGCGACATCTCGCACGTCGCGCACGCGCAACTTTTTCCTCGACGAGAGTGTAATATTCGCTTTCTAAATAGAATTTTACGACGCGAGAAGCTTATAAATTTTTACAACGCACTATGCGCAAATAGTCACGCGAGCGTACGTTTTTCTTTCCGCGGTGAGGAAGCAACGTCGTTTTACGATACCACCGCTCGCAGAAAAGCGCCTTCGTCTCGCAGCTCGGGACGTGTCAACGCACTTTCGTCGGCCGGCCGAGGAGTTAATGGAATTCAGAAGGGAAAATGACGGCTGTACTTCAACAAGCGTTGTGCAAATCATCGCGGTCGATGCTTCCGCGAGTCGATAATTGTCCTCGTCACGAAGACGATCGGGCGTCACCGCACGCAGAAGCCTAGCAGCATCCATTTGTCAGAGCATGACTATACGAATGTTCAGAGCTTTAGCTAGGCTTTATAGAGAGAGAATATATTCGTACAAAGAACTTCACTTGATTAAAAAAGTTTGCCTAAAAAAATTATAAAGTCACGCAAAAGTATTTTATTTCTACAAATAATTAACAGAATAATTTCTCTTTAAATTCCAAATCTGATTTCCATTTTAATTCCTTCATTAAAATAGGCTCGGAATTATTTAAAAGATTTAACGGTTTAATCGATAGAGAATGCGCGCGCTCTCTCTCTCTCTTTGAAGATATCTTGGCATAACATTAAAAAGAAGTTTTCCCAATAAAAAACAGGAAGAAAGAAAGCGAGTTCGCGAGATGGGGGTCAACCGGGTCGCACGCGTATTAGTCTTTCGGTAATTTCGCCCGCGGAAATATGCTGAGACGCGCTTTCCAAAGGTCGACGACGCGAGCCGTCAGATCGTATTCTCTCGCACAGGTGCCGCGTCTCGGAATACTAACTTATACACGTACGCACACACATCGACCGTAACTGATACGATTTCTCCGTACCCGAATCGTGAGTATGTATCGGGGACAAAATCAAAAATAGTTGACGGGTTGAAGAGGAAAGCGTAGGCGCTGCTAAAGCTGTATAAGCGCTCTAATATAACTTTTCAATCTATGAGAGATATATATCTTACTAATTTACTTTCGAAAGAAAAAACAATCATCTTTCGCCGGCGTAAGTTTCTCTTCCTTATGCGTATAAGCTTACGAAAGTAGGTGTTTCTTTGGCGGATTGCCAATAGGCAACAGCCTCTTACTGCACCTGTTGTATATATTTTTACGGTGAAGGATCACGGAGGAAGCGATCTGTACGCTTACGCATTTCACCGGCCGTACTTGACACGCAAAACCAGCTTCGCCGGCGGAGCTTTCACTTCGCGATGCGCACAGCTTGCAGCGCGAAAAGAAGTGCACCGGCGGTCTTTATGCAAATTCTATACGCGTAGATTAACCGATATACGGCAGACCGAGTTGGTACGTGATTCGCGCGCATCATGAGCGCGCTCATTTTCCTTTTACGAGAGCAAAGTTGGACGAGATTTCTTTTCCCGCCCATGACGGTGTTTCACCCAAATTCAACCAAGCTTGAGACTTTCTGCGGAATCGCCTTGTCTCGCTCTTCGTCGTTCCGTGCATTATTCATGAACACACCGGTGGAAAAATAGCTATTACTATGGGAATAGTGTTTGTTCTGGAGCAGAATGTGCAAGACGTGCTTCACCGTGGAAAATATCGCGGACGAATTTAGAACCAATTTCTGCGGGAGAATTGATTGAATCCGACGTTGCTGTTAGTTTTGCTTTTTAATACGCTTTGCTTATTGTATTATTTCACATTGTGGTGCGGTTATGACATGGGACTGCCATTTAATATGGAAACGCGTCACAACAGTGACTTGCAATGTTATTTTAAGGTGGAATACACGACGGTGATGATCGTCGCGCGAGGCGAAGGCGCAAAGCAAAATTTAAAACTGATTTTGCGTGCGTCTTGTACGAGGCAATCAACCGTTAACTCCGTTTATTCGCGCACGACGAAGACTCGGCGCGCGCTGTAAGTTATGCGGCGGTCATTTGCCTCTGCCTGTGATAAACCATACGCGGCATAAGCTCGGCGAGAGATCCTCTATGACGTACATATATCCACGCATACATTACATAAATACGATTCTTCTGCAGTTTTCGAGATTGTTTACGACAGCGGGGTACAGATCGGATTGTGGTTTAGTAGAATTCAAATTAGAAATCGATTTGTACAACTGTAAAAATTCACCACCACGCACACGCATGATGTGACTGTAAAGAATAATAACTCTTTAGACTATCTGCTGGCATAAGGGAAGTAATTCTGCGATTATTTATCACGCGCTTGATATAAATGGATATGTATAAATATGTATAAATACATACGCGCGCGTTTCGCATCGCAAATCGATAATCATCGAGGCGAATTTACCGCCTTGAGAATTTCAAGAGGACGTACCTAACGTCGCTCTAAAATATACGTTCTCGAGATTAAGAATGTAGCGTAAATCATAATTATTGAGATTTACGCATGGATAACGTCGGTGGATTATCGGCTCACACGCCGATTTCGGTTCGTTGACTTTTGCGCGGCTCGCCGCGCGTGGTTTCTCTTCCAGTCTCGGCATTTCCCCTGCCCCTCCTTTACCTTTTACCTTTACCTTGGCCTTGCTGTGCGTTTCACCTTCGCCACCGCCGCACAAAATCCGCCCCGTCCGTCCTAAAGGAACAGGGAACGCAAAGTGCTTTCGACTGATTGCATCTATGCCACGTCGTTTTTTCAAGATTTTAAATATAATGTATGTGATAAAATTTAATAGTATTTTAATTTTGAGAAATCTTATAATTATTGTTTGAAAGTATTTATTCATAGAGAATTATTGAGATAATAAACTTTCTCTGAAATTTCGAACTTTTAAATTCTGGAATTTACAGAATTTTTAAGGCTCACTTCAATGACAAAAAAGATTACATCGTATAAATTTCTCATCTATGTATGTGATAATGAAATGATATAATCTGTTGATAATTATATAAGTGCCTTTGAAAGTTGTCAGAATGTAAATTTCACGCGGCCCATTAAATTGCTAATCTCCACGGAAGAAATCGAAACTAACATATGTACGAGCCTGAACGAACTTAATATCCAAGAATTTAAACGAGATATAACGGCAATGTTCAAAGTATCCTAATAATCCCACACTTCCGCTGAGTCAGCTTCGTTTATTAAAAAGGAAACTTAAGAAGAACGATATATCAATGTAGAGACATTAATGGTTACAAATAAATCAATTTGAGATCTCCAAGTATCTTTGAGGCGAACTCGCGGTCGCGCGCGGCAAAGAAATCGAGCGAAAGAAATACGAGTTTTACTCGGACATTAGCGATGCAGGTTGAAACTATCTTCATCTGTCATAGCAAGTAATCTAATGCGCCACTATTTCTTTCACACTACTTATATTTTGTAATGCAAGTGGAAAGTCATTGCGTCGTTTTGTGTGGATGCGTACGCATCCGTTTCGCATCGTACGTTTACCGGCGCTTCCTGATTCCGCAGAAGCTTAATCGAAACAGCTGCGGACTATCGACGTCATGCCAAGTCGTACATCGGGCGCCGGGCGAGATGCCGTAACATCTGATTTATGATATCCAATGTACAGCAAAAACGATTCACGCGGTCTCTTTCATCGACACCGGCCTCGTGAATATTTATAGCATTCGTCGTATGCGCTCGTAGAATTTTACTACAAAAATTCCCGAGATTCTCTGTTATTATCTTTATGTGAAAACGATTCTCTCGCTTGCCGATTAATAAAGCGGCGACGATAAATTCGAAAACGCGGCACCATATCATCGTTCGACCGCGAAAGTGTAAAAGAAGCGAATGTATCCCGAAGGAAAAAAAAAGCACGTGACTTTCTCGTGGCCCACATACAAATTGCTACACTGGTCCTTATTGGTTCGCCAATGCCCGCCGATCCATTTACAGTTTTGCACCGCGAAGTCAACCTCCTTACAGCATTTCGTTCGGCCTTTCATTTCCTCCCACCTAGGCGCACCTGCGTGAAGTGCAGCTTTGAAAACAGACTTCGACACGTGACGAAGTTCCGCGAAGGTCCCTCAGACGAGAGAATTTTCAAGGATAAAATCGCTTTCAATGAAAATCCCGCAAAAAAATTACGAGGCTTATTAGTGTATAAATTGACACGGCGCAGAAGAAAATTAAATTGCACCATTATGATATCCACGACGTAACGATGTACGCGCCGAGGTTGGCATTCTCCTTCCGGAAGTGCTATAATTATGAAGTGCAAATTACCGTCGAATGAATCTTCCGTCATCTTCGAGGGTGTTTACGCGCTTATTTCTCGTATGTTCCTCCTTACCGACACGGCCATTTCCTCCCCGTCACCGCCATCGTAATCGTTCAGTTTGCCGCCGCGATCTATGTATGCGAAAAACCAGAATGACCGGGAGAGCAGGATTTTTCCACGTCTCTCCCGGAGTTACGTGTCCCGTCCGAGGAAACGGTAACTTCGCTTCCGTTCTGATATTCTCTCTCTTTCGCGCCGCGTTGCGATCA